TTCGACCATCTTCGTAAGGCAATGAATCGACTCAACCGAGCGAGCTCAAATGTCCTGAACCGTGAAGCGTGCACACAGGGCACCGGGCATCGATGCGTGTCCGTCGTAGACATTGCACTCCGTCTCAGGCTTCGCTGCAACAAAGTAGTCGCCGGCCTCGACGATGCGGTGGAACCCAGAGCCGATCTGCGGGTCGAACACTCCCCAGTCTTCGCGAGAGAGAGTGAACGACACCTCGCGCGTCTCACCAGGCTGGAGATAAATCTTCGTGAACCTTTTCAGCTGTTTGGCTTCTGGTACGGAGATCGCGCGGAATGGCTGAATGAGGAATAACATAACTGTCTCTTTGCCTGCCATCGAGCCAGCGTTTGTGACTGCCACACTGATCTCGAGCGAAGTATCGCCGCTGTTCGGAATGGTGGTCCTGCTCAGTGAAACGTTGCCGTACTCGAACGCAGAGTAGCTAAGCCCGTGTCCAAAGTTCCACTCCATCTTGCACGGCCCTTCGTCACGGCAGCGCGTACTCACAAGGTGGTTGTAAGGGATCGCGATATTGGCCGACGTCTTCGGGTACGTTATGGGAAGTCGGCCGCTAGGGTTGACATGTCCGAACAGGATTTCGGCGAGTGCTTGACCACCCAGCTCGCCCGGAAGCATGGCATATACCACAGCATGGGCAATTTCCGCAAGTCCTTGGAGCAGTCGAGGACGTCCTTGTGCCAAAACAAGGATAACCTTCGTACCAGTGGCAGCAATTTTGCGAACATACTCGACTTGACCCAGTGGTAGGTTCAAGTCATCGATGTCACCCGGCTTCTCTGCATACACGCCCTCACCAATTGCAATAATCGTGTAGGCCGATCTTTCCGCGATGCGCTTGGCTTCTTCAAGATCTGCTGAAGAGAAGGAGCCATTGGGGTGCAGTCCATTGGCATAGTGAACGACGCCAGTACTTGTATTCAGCACGTTTGTGATCCCTTGTCGGAGCGAGACGCCGTTCGGAAAAAGGCTATTTCCCGATACACCTTGCCAACGAAGCGACCACCCTCCACACAACAGACCGATGTTGTCCGCCGCATGCCCCGTCAGGAAAACCTCGCTGCTTGCATTCAAAGGAAGGATTCCGTCTTCGTTCTTTAGTAGAACGATGGACTCGCGCGCAAGCTCCAGTGCTGCCTGTCGGCTCTCGTTTCCGCCGACAAGAGCAATGTCGTCTTCCGTTCCTGGTAGAGCGTGGTCTAACAAGCCGAGCTTTACCTTGGTCGTGACAATCCGACGGACAGAATCTTTGATTCGACTCATCAGCTCAGGATTCTCCCGTATGGCTAGGCGAGCCATGTCAATAAATGAGGCGTTGAGTGCCACCATACTCATGTCTAAAGGAGCGTTCGTCAGCGCCATGCGAATCGCATCCCGATCCGATTTGGCAACTCGGTGCCATGCGTGGAGATTGTGGATTTCAGCATAGTCCGTGACAATCAGTCCGTCAAAGCCCATATCGTGACGCACCAGATCTCTCAAGATTTTCGTGTTGGCAACGACCGGGACCCCATTGATAGAAATGTAGCTTTCCATGGCTGTCATGGCACCAGCTTTGACGGCGGCCAAGAAAGGAGGTGCGAAGCGATTGAGGAGCTCGAAGTCGGACACTGTGACGCCTGCACGATCATGACCCGTTGGTGTTCTCGAGTACCCGATGATATGCTTCATGCATGCAGCTGTAGTGCCGTTGCTTTGAATACCACGAATGATAGCGTCAGCCATGACAGACACCAGGTGAGGGTCTTCTCCGAAAGTCTCGAACGTTCTCGCCCAGAGAGGGTTATGCGAGATCTCAAGGATCGGGGCAAACAACCATGGCATTCCGGATGCCCCCGTGTCTCGGGCAGTGATCCGGCCCATTTCGTAGACCAGTTCTGGGTTGAATGTTGCAGCGGCGTTGAGTTGTTGACCGAACAGCACTGCTCCACGGACGTAATCTGCCCCATGGACCGAGTCGATTCCATAGATGACGGGGAAGCTGCCGTGGCTGGCGTAGATGGCCTGGATGTCCGTGATCAACTCGCGCCATTCCCTAGGTGAGAAGTTGTAGGTCGAGTTCGCGTCCGTGTCGTTCAGGTCAGCACCGGGCGTGTTCAAGTACGAGCCCACGTTGAGTTTTGCGTGTTCGTGTACAACCGCTCGGTTGAGCGTGCGGTTCGGGTGCAGAATCGTGCTCACGTCCAGTTGCGTCATCTGGCCAAGCATCGCGTCCAAGTTCTGCAGAAGCACACACAAGGCCTGTCAGCGGTGAAAACCTCAGCTAAAGTCGTGGGCATCGTTACCATGGACGCCATCAGCCCTTCGGCTCGATCCTGGATTTGTTGGTCGGAGGACGGCTCATTTGCAGCAACGTGGCCATTGATAACGGCAAAGCTTGCCAGGATGAAGGATACGAGTCTCGTCATGGTATGCCGCAGCAACTTCCAAGCACGTGCTTATTCGACAGCTTCTTCAGACGACAAAGTGAATTTGAGAATGAGTGAAGTGCCAACAGAGACCCTCGATATCTCCTGGAACCGCTCATCCTCTTTCGTCTCGCTCACAGCGAATCTGAGTCACTAATATGCACGTGCCAAGTTTGGCTACCACCGAAACAGTCAAAACTGTTCCGACGTATTGTGTTGAACTTTCGTCGCTACGTTCGACAATCCCAGAATGGCGACCTGCTAGCGATTCTGATGGCCCCGTAGTTCAATTCCGTCTGCTTAGTCGGGATACGTTACTGCACCGGTACGGTTCATTCGAGTTGAGGATGGGACACTAACCCACACCTTTGTTCAAACCTCGTCTGGTTACACCGTAGCAGCGCCATCGCGCTCGTCGTGAGTCTGAGCAGTTTCGGCCTTATGCGTGTGTGAGTGTGTCATTTCACATTGAACTTCAACGATCTGTTGCCATGCTGATCCGCTCGCGCTTACACGACTGAGGCTGCGTTCACGCATCGGAGTCCTGGGCCCTCGACGACACATTTTATTGCGCAAGAAAGCGGACACGCTATACCTTCTACCCACTGTTTACAATCAAAGTATGGCGATGCAGTCAAGCTTTTTTCTGCGTCATGCAATCAATATGTAGGGCTTTACGCACGCGTACTGTACAATGGTGTGTGATTGGTGAAAATGATGGGATAGCCGTCACTCATGTACTCAGACTTTTTCGAACCTGTCATGATGCATCTCAAACTGATGCGCTTAGAAATGTCCCTCGTGGGCCGCAAGGTTTTATCGAAGACTTAGCAAGGTAAAAGACATAGGCCGGACATGGTTGCTGTACGCAAATCGCGGTTCCGGGCAACTCAGACGGCTGTTGTGCAGCTCATCATCGGCATCGTCGCCACAAATCGTCCTCGCACTACTGAAGACTTGGCGAATGGAGCGAGGCAGCTCTGAAAAGGTGCTCTGAAAAGGTTTATTCTTTTTCTTGGCGTATCGGCTCTCACGCTGGGCAGAGTAATGATACCACCGAAGAATTGCTTGTACCATTGGTACTGCAACGTAACCCAGAACTCCTCAAATGATATAAAGACACTCGGAGACAGGGCGTTTTCTTGATCGTTCAATAT